GGGTGGAATTAAAAGATGACATCTAGATTGAGACTGAAGGTCTGTGAAGCAAGGCAGAGGGGGAGGAATTTAAAGATGAAGTCTGGATTAAGCCCCCCCTGGATTGAGGCAGGGGTGGTGGAATTTAAAGATGAAGTCTAGATTGAGACTGAAGGTCTGTGAAGCAAGGCAGAGGGGGATGGAATTTAAAGATGAAGTCTATTACTACTACTACTACTGCTACTACTGCTGCTACTGCTGCTACTGCTACTACTGCTACCACTGCTACTACTACTACTGCTACTGCTACTGCTACTGCTACTGCTACTACTACTACTACTACTACTACCACTACTACTACTACCACTACCACTACCACTACCACTACCACTACCACTACCACTACCACTACCACTACCACTACCACTATCACTAGCACTACCACGACTACTACTACTACTACCACTACTACCACTACTACCACTACTACCACTACTACCACTACTACCACTACTACCACTACTACCACTACTACCACTACTACCACTACTACTACCACTACTACTACCACTACTACTACTACCACTACCACTACCACTACCACTCCTACTCCTCCTACTACTACTACTACTACCACTACCACCTTCAAGCCCCCTTCAAGCTCCCTCCCCTTCAAGCCTCCTTCACCTTGAAGCCCCCTTCAGCCCCCTTCAAGCCCTCTTCAAGCCCCCTCAAGCGCCCTTCAAGCCCCCTTCAAGCCCCCTTCAAGCCCCCTTCCCTTCAGCCCCTTCTTTTCAAGCCCCTTCAAGCCCCCTTCACCCCCCTTCAAGCCCCTTCGTGCTTTCTGAAGCCTTCACGAAGGTCACCCTTAAAGCCCCTTGAAGCCCCCTTGAAGCCCCCCTTGAAGCCCCCCCTTCAAGCCCCCCTTCAAGCCTTCTGAAGGTGAAGGGTACTGTCAAGTTTAGTCTTCGGATCCTTCTTGGGTCATCTCCTGTGAGGATTGGTGACGTGGAGCCTCGCCGCACCAGTGTGATATTGAGTGGGAAATAGGCAATGCAATGCCTGATGCTCCTGTGCAAGGACAATGGCGTGGTGGACTTTCTTCCGCTTCTCTGAAACGAATCAGGTGGGAGCGAGCAGCGGAGCTGCTGACCCCCGGTTTCGCTTCCGGTGGAAGCAGGCTAGCCTTGGGGTTTTCCCACTGGGCGCCTGGAATGAGGGTGTCTAGACCCCCTCGGCATCTTGGATGGTTTGCACTGACAAGCCAGATGATCAGTTTGCCAAGCGTGGAGCTGAGGAGCTACCAAGCGTTGGGAAGCCCAACAGCGACAGAGGACTCGGTACTTGGAGGCGAACCGTGGGGATGTCAGTGATCCTGCTCTTTGATTTTTCTGCATGAGAGCTACAATGGAGGCTGGCTCCAACTACGAGTGAGGAAACGGAGTCCGAGGAGACATCAGATGGGGACTTCTCGGTGATCACCGAGCAGGAGGAGGACGGAGCTGCACCTCCAGACCGTGGAGAAGACATGATAGCCTGAGAAGTTTTGGATTTGTGGTCAGAATGACCACCAGTCTTTCCACATGACCAAGGGTCATGGGTGAGAGTGTGATGTGGGGAAACCGAAGAAGGCGTGCCCCGTTCACTCCCCAGGAAAATCGAGAAGTGTAACAGTTTTGCTGGCTTAGCATGGCCACTCTGCACAAAGCATGACGCGAGGCAATCCAAACCGGTGCTTACCATCCTATGGCTCAAGAAAAACAGGCGCCCATTGCCGCTGCTTGGTAGTTTTGGGTGCCTGGGGAATCACAGTTTCATTCTGTTTCTTAATTTTTTGAGAAAGCTTACGTTTTGAAACGCATCAATTGATTCCTTGAACCCTGTGCCCGACTGTATGAAGAGGGCAGTCTTCAACATTCTGACTTTGGGAGCACCAACTATCGAAGAGCAACGCGCCAAAGCAATCAAGGACATCATCCAGCTGATGGCACAGCCTGGCAGCAGACGAACGCGCATTGCATGACACCTAGCCTCTCCCGAAGCAAAACTTGCTCAAGGACAAAACCAGGGTGTGTTCTGCGATTGCTGAAGAAAACCAACTGCCTGATATGGATGGGGTCAAGTTTATGAGCGAGGGTGTCGCGCTGACTGGTCAGCACGACAAACCTCCCTAACGGGCGCAATTCAGTCCTGCCGTCTCAACGCTGAAGAACAACCGGAGCAGGAAGCAATTTGGAGGCGCAGGTCGCTGATGGCCAAAAGCTTCAGCCATGAGCATCTAGATTTGTTGGATGAGCAGTCTCGCGATGAAGTGGCAGCTGGATTTTTTCAAGGTCCTTTCAACTCAGTTGAAGAAGTTTCGAATTTCCTCTGGAGGAGCGATTGCCTGTTGAACAGTTGAACCCCCGCTTCATTGTGCTGAAAGGCCCTGCAAAGAAGCCTAGAATTATTGATGACTGCTGACGATCTGGATTGCATGGTGCCTTCACAAGTTTGGAGCGATTGCAGCTCCAAGACTTCGACTTCGTTGTATCCATTGCGAAGCTACTCAAGACATGTGTGCCGGTGGGAAGTCAGGCTGACGGTGGCCGATGGCTCTGTCTGGAGAGGCACCTTGCTTCCACAACTGGCTGGGTGAAATGGCTGGCTCCTCGTGACATAGCGAAGGCTTACAAGCAAATGGCGATCACCGAGAAAGCCGACTTTGTTTCTGTTGTTGGGGTATTCGAGGTGTGATGCTGGATCATGGGCTTTCTATTCTTCCACGGCAATTCCCTCTGGCGCTGTGGGCAGCATATTTGGCTTTTAGGAGTTGCTCGAGTTTATGGCATCTCGCCGTTTCCCTGCTGAACGTGCCCGCTTGCCATTATTTTGACGATTCCCCGATTTCAAAACGAACCCCTGGCAACTGAGTCTCAGTTGGCCTTTGAAACTCTTCTCCGGTGGAAATTTGCCGATGGGGACAAGAATTGGCCTTTTGCAACGAGTTCAACATTCTGAGAAACGCATTTCTTTAGTTGATTTCCTCAGGATTTTGCCTCGGTCGTTTTCTTCAACCTGCTATGAGACAATTGGCGCATGTCTGTACTCAGCGAAGCCATCAATTGAAAATTGATGATGCGTGTGACCATTTCCTGAAAATTTTGTTGCAGGCCAAGCCTAGACATTTCAGCTGTGATCATGGGGGCGCCCCCTATTCTGATTTTTGCCGAAAGTGCGTATGAGTCTGGCGTTGCTTCGGCTGGGGCTTTGTTGGTTGACTTGGCAAAAAATTGGTTTTTGATGGGGTAGTTGAAGTTTGTTGCGAAATGGATCTTCGGCGGGAGCAGGTCAGCCCTTCAAGAAAGCCCTTGAATAAGACTACAGCCTCGGTAGTTTGAACCATGGGACATGAAAAGTGAGTCCAGGTCCAGCTGAGATTTTTGTATTAGTTTGTGATGCGAACCAGAAGCGGCAGTTGGGAGCAATTGGAATCATTTAATGAATGCCGAAATGGCAAACATGGAAATTTGCTGGAGTTCCATGAGCGCCATCGTCCAGTGGTTGACTTTGACATTTCCTCACGAGTGCGTTCATGGTTCCTTGAGAAAGATGGCCCGAAGATTGACCCGCCTGAATTGCTTGTTTGCGGACAGGTCCGTTCTTCACTTCATGAGAAGAATGCCAAAAAAGCCGTGCTCAGGTTCATCCAATTTATGGATGCAGGGGGTGGTCGAGGGCGCTTGTTTCGCCCAAAAAGGCGTTCTTCATTGCTGGCTGTGGAAGGGATCAAAGCCAAGAATGTGGATGTCTCGCAGTGAATATTATTTCTTGAGTGTTGATAGTGAGGTCGCCGAACGCACCTTCTGTCAATTGCATTTGCTTTTGTGATTTGATCGTGCTCAGGTGAAGAACCAAATTTAATGCCGAAATGGCAAACGGAAGAGTGGCAATGATCGCCATCATCAGTGTGTTTATTGATTCCATGATTTTATCCTCAAAGTGGGCGGGATCGGTATATCCTCCCCGCAAAATCTCGGCGCAACCCTCCGCTCCCGTCCCGCCTCTACGTTTGCTTGTTTCCCCTGGCCAATCGGCGTGTCTTCATTGCTTGCTTGACGAAGGGATCATAGCCAAAAAATATTTATATATCGATATGTCTATATATCTATATATCTATGGATCTATATATCTATAAAATATATATATAAATATCCATATATATATGCATATATATATGTATATCTCTATATATTTAAACATATATATATATATCTATACATATATATATATTTATCTATATATACCTATATAATCTAATATAAATATATATTTATATATATATTTTATATATATATATCTATATATCAATATATATGTATATATAAATATATATATATAAATATCTATATATCTATATATTTATAAATATGGTACCTATATATCCATAAATATTATATATCCAAAAATATCCATATTTAATATATATATATCTACATGTACATGCATGCATATATATATATATCTATACATTGGCACGGCCCTCGCATCTATGTGGCGTGAACAAAAAAAAAATGCATGGTTCCTGCTCTCAATTTTAATCACAAATAGATAAAGTCTTAAATCCAATCATCTGATTTTAATTGCGAACATGTTCACACGCGAAAACATGGTAAGGAATTATTGCATGGGATTTAATAACCAAGACCCAGCGGTGTGTTAGTTTTTTCTAAAAAATGTGTACGGAAGACCAAAAACTTGGAAAAACATTTGGTTCACAGGCCTTCTTTGGTGTACATCATAATCGGTGTGATTTTTTTCAAACACTTTGATTTACGAAACAATGTATTTCTTTGCCTTGGCCAAATGTCATTGTGTGTGATGCTTATCTTTCGCTGACCACGCAGCTGTTGCCATCCCATCTGTTCAGATGTAGTCCTCCGTTTTAGCAGTTTCGATTCCAACTCAGGACACTCAAATTGTAATTCACATTTCAAGCACTTATTGTTGAATTTCGGCAATTTACAGCAGTTGTTTTTGAACACATTTCACACAGTGACGGTGGGTGGCCATCTGTGCGGCCGAGCCTCATGCGAGACGAACTTAGTCGCAACACCATTGTGGGTGGAGTGCGCGTTGAGACCGCCATTCAGCAGGTGGCTTAAAACAAAGTGGTGCATAAACAAAGGAACAACGTCAAACCCATGACAGATAGGCGAAAAATCAAAATTTCTTTAGGTTCATTCGTATTTTGAATTTTGAATTCCTGCAGCCAATGGGTCCTGACAATTGATAACCAATGGGTCTTCAATATCATGTGACCTAAAAAATTGAACATTAAACACCTATAACCAGCTATACATCTCATTAAATCACCATTTTTCTGGTTAAAAATCACCATTTTCCAAACAACATGTAGACCTGGTGACAGGTTGAAGATGAACTTGCGAAATGGCAGTGCAACAAGTACACGCACATCACTCGAGCAGTCCCAGTTTCAGCGGTTTCAGCGGACCACAAGTCGGTCATCAAACTGGAGACCATTTTCAGCCGCCCAGCGCAGGAGATTCTGACAGCTTCAGCAGCCTGAGTTAACCTCTGGTAATTTAAGACTGCGAACTGGAAAATGGCCATAGAAATAGTTGATTTACCCATTAAACATGGTGATTTTCCATCATTATGTTAGTTTACCAGAGGTTAAACATGGTAACAAAACTTTAGTGAATGGTTCATCTTGGATCCAACCATATCTAACGATGTCAAAACTAGTCCTACCAATAACAGGTCCTACCTCTTTGGCACAGACCTTGTGCGAGGGTGGGAAACCTGCAAAGCATACATTTAGCAACCATCAACTCTACATTTTTTGTTGTTTCTTTGGTGAATACCATATCTGCAGTATCTTTTATTTATCCAATGTGACGTCGATTGTGTAAGTCAGTGTGGTGCCAAAAACCAACTGTGTCAGAAATTCATGTGGACTTTGCTGCTCCTACTTTGATGTGACTGAGATGTGGAGAAAAAAACTATGACAATCGGACTGGCTATCAGTTTCTACCACCATTTTCAAACAATGAAAACTGTACTGCAAACATCTATGGCTGTAGATCAAACAGGTCTTTTTCAAAAGCGGACGGTTCGTTTTTTTTTCGGTGCCAGGATTGCCCTGTGCCGGTGGCTGTGGTCTTTGTGTACTTCAACTTGGATACGGCCACAGGGGCTTTGACGTACCAGTTTGAAGAGGAGAACGTTCAACACGAGGCCCGTGGGCCACCAGGACTCTATGGGAGAACATGTTCGGATAGGAATGCCTGGGGACAGATTCATTTGAATTTGTAGGTCATTAGCCTAGGTTGTTCCAGAACATTAAGTCGATTCAGTTCCAATCTTTCTCGAAAGTTTGAAACCCAAATTTCAACCCGATCTGGATGCACCGCGGGTCTACCGCGGAATCACATTCCGAGTTTTGACATCAGCCAGCAGCGGGTCTTGGAGCCAACTTCACGACTTTTTTGGTCCATTTTTGATGGACAACCTCATATCATCTTGGTGGTTGTATACCCTATTATTCCATTCATATCCTCATGGATATCTCCATTCACATTCAGTCAACATCGATAATTATTGGTTCACCCCCCCATTATATATTTTATCCCATTTATGACTATTATCCCATTTATTGGTTATAACAGATCCAATTATTGGTTGGTTAAATACATTGCCAGGTAAGTGGTCAAAGTCTGGCACCTGGCATGTACGAACGCTGGCTGGATCGCATCATTGGCGATAAGCTGCAGGACATTTTGGGACAAAACATGGTGATGTTTCAGGGAAAACTTAGCGATTTTCCATCAAACCTGTTGATATTCTGGAGAAAAACATGCTGATTTTCTGTAAATCCTGCTAATTTTCCATAAGGATGGTGGTTTACATGGCGATGTTTGAAGGAAATTCGACCAACCGTACATGAAGACGAAGCACCCAACAAAAAACATATTTTGAAACGTTGATACATGTAATCATTACGACCGCATTGGCTGACCTTTGAGATTAGTAAATGGTTCGTACTACAACCACTCAAAACACTGGAAAGTTATATACCTGATATGCCCGGATGCCGCCAGTTGTTTCCCATGGATCATAACTTCAGCGATCATGGCCCAATGGCTGGTCTTTGAATCTACGATGGCATCCAGAAATCGTGGAACACTGCAAATTTCATTACCCTCAAAAAAGAGAGGATATCTGATATCTCCAATACATTAGTCAATCAAAAACCTTGCATTTACGAAACTTGAAAATAGAAGCTAACATATGCCCCGTGAGTCCCGGGTCAAAAGTTGGATGATACCACCATTCAGCAAGGGACGACCATACCACAAAAATCCCATGGTTTCCAGACCACGGGAGTAAAGAAGCTACGCTTCTTGCGGGGATCATCTTTTGCATTGCTTGGATAGTCTTGTTTTGACAAAGAAAGAACTTACGTTTTTGACTACCTTTTTGGATGGGTTGGCTGGCTTGAGTTTCTGATGTTGTCCATTTTGATTGGCAATATCGATGGCTACATACTCACTACATGTCTGTTGTACATTGTTGTGCACTCATTTCTTTTCTCCGCCATTTTTGCTAAGACCCCCGATTTTGGTTGATGAAAGTCCCCTTTTGCAAATTGAAGGGGCCCAGATTCAATTTTCCCATCGTTTCTGGGTAATATACACATATCTAGCCCATTTTGTGCCACAATTTTGGCTGGTAAATCAACAGACATACCCTCTGGTAATTTAACATAGCTATGGAAAATCACTATTTCTATGGCCATTTTCAATAGCTATGTGACACATTACCAGAGGGTAAACCAACCAAGTTGTTGCTGAAGCGCCCTGGGAGGTTCGACAGTTACACGACCTCGCTACAGCATTTGAACAAACGCGCCTAGAGCCGCCGCCACATATCGAGGAACAGGTGCACTGCCATGGTAGGATTTTATCAGCCATCAATGGTGCCATTTGTTAAATGCAGTCAATAAAAATGGCTGATTTTTAATCATTAAACCTTTGAAGATAGGGTTTCATGACGAAAACGCCAGTTTTTGAAGTCAATCAATAAATTCGGTTTTAAAAATGAGTGTTTGTCCAACCATTGGGGATTTAATCCACAAAAATGCGGATAGTGATGGTTGATCATGTTTTTTTTTGGTGGTTTCTATAGGTTCCAAAGATCCACTATTACTGGCTGGGGGTTGAGACCCCAGAATTCACGAAGGATCTGGGGGAAACCTTGGAGGTTTCTGGTACATGGGGGGATCCCGGGGATCCCCAATAGCTGGTTGGTTTATTTCATGGAAACTTCCAAAGAAAAATGGACGATTTAGGGGTACCTCCATGACTCAGGAAACCTTCACATGGGGAAATCCATGCCACGCTTTAAGATCTGGCCTTTTTGCAGAGGATCTAAGGTTAGAGATGCAAGAATAGCATTGAAATTGAATAGCGGTTTCAACTGACATGGGCCAGAATACACTGGGCCCAATGCATCATGACATCGTGTTTCTTGCCCAAAAAGATCAACGGATGATGCCAACCCAGTGGGATATGTTCATCAACAAGCCTCAGGATTCAAGCAGAAATTAGGGAGTTCAATATGACACAGCTTTCTGACAGCAAACTTGAAAAGGAACACTACTGTACAAATGAATTGAATGTATTTAGATATAACATTTTCAAAATCGATCGTTTGAGTCTAAAGTTTTGCGAATGTTTGAGTCTCTTCCTACCATGGCTGTCCAGGCCGACTCCGCTCCCATCGATGCTGGCCCCCGACTTCCCACCGACCCCGCCGTGCCGGGCCCCGGGGGCCCCGGGGGCCCCGGGGGCCCCGGCCCCACTCCCAGCGGCCCTGGGGTGGCCGTGGGCGAAGCGGCAGAGGTGGAGAAAATTGAGGCGGAGTTGGATCTCAGCACGTTGCTGGCGAATATCTTTGATGCAGCAGATGAAGAGAACGAACTTGAACTCAGGTGGGAAAAAAAAAACACCAACAAAACATGGGGTGGAAATGGGGTAAACCATGAATGACAGGGCGTTTTGCGGAAGCATATATGTTCGAGGGGTTAAACATTGGCTGGTAGGATGCGAAAAGGTTGAATTGGGATCTCATCCCATATCCAAAAATTGGGTGGATCAGTGGATGTTCACATCCCAATGTCCAGGATTCGGTCCAGGTTTTGACTCCTGGGATGGCACGCATGCACCTGAGGCATAAGGAAGTGGCAGATCTACTCTACGCGACGCCATTGGGTTTGACGGACTGGGATATTAAGTTGTTGCTCTCCACAGCTACGGAGTTTGAAACTGGCAGGCCGGGGTGCGAGGGGTGGATATTTTTCAAGATGTTTTTAAGTGGACTCAGTGGTACGATGTTTGGCAACCTGGCAACCTGGTTGTGGGAGGCTCTCATGACTTGGGTGTGTAAAACTGTTTGTTCGAGGTGGTGGAACTTTTGGGCTCACCAGGTTGAAAGATGTTGAAAGCACCCTACAATTATCAAAGGAATTAACCCACTAGGACCTTCTGCAAGGTTGACCTGGATTTGTTACACATCCATGATCATCCATGGCCAGGATAGAGTACAAGCCTTTCGTTGCAGCCGCTCCAGAGATCATTGAAGGCGGGCGGACGGGTTGGAGGATGACTTTTTTGGACCTCCGCACCTCCTGGACTTGGATAAGTCTAGTGCTTAGTTTACCCAGTCCCATTTCCCCCCCCAAAGAGCAATGAGGTGAACTCCCTCTAGTAAATTAACATAGCTATGGACGATCATCATCTTTAATAGGTAAATCAACTATTTCTATGGTCATTTTCAATAGCTTTTTGTATGTTTACCAGAGGGTAACTACCGTAACTACCCATGATATCTGATGATGAGGGTTTTTACTCACAAAACGCTTCTGAACTCATCGACTGACAACTGGTGGCTACTGCGACTGAATGTCCATCAAATGTGTGCCGTACGGAACCAAATATCCAGCAGATTGTCTTTGAAGATGGGACAAGATGACCCCATTTGATGAAGGCATCTTGTCGACCGCTGCGGTAACACGAGGGCAGAGATCCATCATTTGATTGGTGGGCTTGAAAGAGAATTCCAAGATTAGTCATTAGTCCAATTTCCACAGTTGTACTATCATCTCAATTGTCATTGTCTCGAAGATTTATCAACTCCTCAATTTTCCGTGGCTTCCTCGGTTTAAATCACCTGCAACATCACTTCGCAAGTCCCTTTTTCCATCATTGTGTCTCCTAACTCTTAGTGATGTTGAACATGCGAACATCTTCCCCCATCTTTTTCGTCATAGTTCCAGCATTTTTGCGGGACATCCATGAATTTTCCCCCACCTTTTGGGGCCTCCACCGGCTCCACCGCACCGGTCACCGCCAGGGCTCCGCAAGCGCCGCGCCGCCTTCGAAGCCCGGAAGAGCGCCGCGGCCGCCGCCGAGGCGCCGGTGACGATGGAGGCCATCGAGCTGTGCTTCGGCGAAGAGATCGAAGAAGTGGCCAGGCACCGGTGGCCAGGGCATGGCGTTGGGGATTTAATGGCCTGGGTGGTGGCGAAACATAGATATAGTTATTGTATGTTATTGTTGGTTGAAAGATGGTTATAGTTTTTTTTTCCGTTACGGAGAGGCGAAATCACACTTGTTTATTCTTAGGGAACGAGTATCAATGACAATTATAGTTGATGATAGGCATATGAATGTTAATCATTAGTTGACAATATTGTCTCAAAGTAGTAGTTAGTTATACATTATTAGTTATAATACATTTAACAGATGCAACTGTCACTGGACACCATATCTACGTTAGTGTACCCCAGAGGAACCCCAGTCATTTCATGCATTTTTTGTGAAGAGGTTTCAGTATGAGTCCCTCCCAACCTCCCAAAATCAGCACTGCCAATCACATTCTACCAACGATACTTTGGGCATCTGAGCAAATATCACCTGATATAACTATAGTTCATGCCATATTATAACTATAGTTCATAGCATATTACACTATACTATACGGACCTATATCTAACCATGCAGCTCAGCTTCCCCTGGAGGACCATGCGAGAAGCCTTCGGTCAAGTGGACCCATCCAGCGTGGGAACCTTGACGCGTCACGAGTTCCGCAGCTGTTTGATGTCGCGGATGGAGCGGCTATCCCTGCAGGAGGTGCCACAGGGCCACAGGGTCTGGTGGTGAAGCCTTAAATACGGATGATTGCGAAGGGTTAATACTACTGGTGAATACGGATTGAGTCAACTACCCTAAATTATGCTCATGACTTTTTGAATTGTGATGTAGCTAAAAAAAACTGGCTATATGGTATTATTGCGAAAGACTGGGATATACAATGGTTAACTATGGCTGAGAATTGGGTGAAGCAGTGGAATTCAGAATGGGGAATTTATTAATCATAGGTTTGTCACAAACAGGCGATTCTATGGCCATTGAAGAATCGGAAACGCCCAAAGACTTCGTTCCCAGGTACAGATGCTGATGCAGATGTGCCGCGAAGACGAACAGGGAAACGTGCTGGTCTATGAAGATCTGGCCTTAGTTGACTTTCTGGCTTCAGTTTCTGCTTGGTGCGATGTCATGAGTATGCATGTTCATTTGCATATATAGATCTACAGTATGTCTATATGTTTTTATGCAGACATATCTGTATTTGTCCCGCAATCCATTTTTTTTTTGGCGGTGAAAATCTATGCCAGAGCCAATGAGAAGGACATGAACGCTGACATTTAGGGATCTCAACTTTGGGTTTGGATCAAGTTTTTGCCTCAAAATTGGATGTTTTTATTCAAAAGGCCCAAATCTATGGGTTTTGAAGTTTGAAGCCTTGATTCCCCACCGCTGAGGAGTTTCCCATGCTGTTGCAACAGCTGCGTATCGACGCCCTGCACAATGCCTTAGTGGAGACGGATATCGCGGCCTTGCGAATTCATCTCATTCTACTGGCAAGGCAAAGATACATGGGAGGGGCGGCTCAAATTTGAGTTTTGATGGTGAAAACACAAGTTTTTTCTATTTGTTCAATCTTTAATAGATGCTGGCTGGCTGATAATTATCGGCAATATCAAGCCTGAAAACCGTGGTGCGTTTGACTAGTGACCCATGCCTTCTAACTTGAAAATTCCACCACAGAAACGCTGGTTTAATATTGGTTCTGTTCATTTCGGGTCCCATGGAAAAGGGAGTATTTTGACTTTTCATCAATATCCATTCAATTGGGAAGTAACATCAACTAATAGTTGGGAATCATCTAGGATCAACACCAGTGTTGATATTGCCGATTATTAGTTGAAAGTGCTATATATATATATTGCCAATTATTGTTCCAAATACTAAATATCGTCCAGGGTGGACATCAACATCTAACATGATTCATCCTCTCATCTCCGGATCAACATCTAAGAGGTCTGCATAACCCCCATAAATTTGGGAAATGTTTGGATACTGACGGATATGATCTCTCCCCGGAACAAAAGGAATCCTTTTTGGGACCTGAAGACATCCAGGACTTAAACCACTTTTTTTTTGCGATTACGAATAGAAGCAAGGGATTAAAATGCTCGTTTGATGCATTTTATGGAACAAAATCGTCCCCCAAAAATGTAGATGATTAAAATCTAGTGCTATCAGCATATGGGTGTTGCGATTTGCCCAGATGAACAGATTCTGTTGGCAGACCAGCGAAGCTTTTGGCAATCATGGCAAGAGTATTTGGTGTATAAGAGCAAATGTAAAGAGGCCAAGAGTTCACTATGGCGATCATGACCATCGTCCAATCATGGTTTGCTTTTGATGATGGCCATGTAGAATAGTGCTAGTGACTAAAGCCTCCCAATCGGTGATCTTACGGATTGGATCCAATGAACCCCGCAAACCTCGCCGTGATTTGGGTCAGCTGCAATACCGTCTTTGGGTGGGGATGAACTGATGAACCTCCATAAATCCCAGGCATTTCAATCTATGGCCATATAGAGGTTTCCGAAAATGGGGGTATCCTAAAAATCATCCATTTTAATCGGATTGTCCAGCAAATAAACCATAAATTTTGGACATTTATGGAAACTCCATATGGGCCATATTGTGCTAAAGATAGGATACCCCCCAATTCCAGCCCCAATGGCTACGGATTCAGGCGGATGGGCCTTCCATCCGACAACATTATGCCGGTGTGGCACCTGCGAAACGTCCTGCTGGCCGCGGATCAGCTGTGTCTGTCACGGACACAGATCCATGTAATCCTGAGCATCGTTCATCCAGATGATAATGGTGATGTGGAGTTTGGCTACTTCTTGCGAGTATGTTGCTTGGTATGCCATGGATATATCTATAGAGATATGATATCTCTAAGTCAGTCTCAATCTCTATCCAGATATGTTTTTTTGGAGACGCGAGATGTTGTGGGTCTGAGGTCTGATTTGGGTATATTGGATATCTTGGTGCACCTTGATATGGGTCCTATGGGTGCTGGAAAAAATACCATGACCTGAACAGGTTGTGAAGTGAGTCTGGATGGGGAGAGAGGACAGTTTTCTGGCTGAAATAGAAGATCATTTGGTGGAAAGCTTCCCAGTCCTCCAATTTTGGGACCAGGCCTCCAAAACTTTCAAACGTCTTAAGGTACGTCTGTCTCCTTTGAATCATAGATTCAACATGATTCAACCAACATCAAGGTCATTTCTTGCTACCACGAATCTTCATCATTGCCGGTCAAATCCCCATCGTTTGGCTTAGATTGCGTCAACCATCTCAAATATCATCAAATTTTAAATGGAAAAAACCTTAAACATCTTCCCCAAATTCCACCAATCTCCCAGGTTTCACCCAGCCTTCCCCATCTCCAACGTCCCCCTTTAAAGCAACCCCCGGTCCTCCCCTGCCACGGACCCCACCGCGACCGAGGCTGCACGGTGATCCCCTGGATGTTCGACACCGCGGCCTTTGCCGAGAAGGCGGCGACCATCGCCAAGGAGAAGGCGGACGCCTTGGCGAAACAGGAACTCGAGGAGTTGCAGGCGGCTGGATGCTGGATGGATAGGGATGGGTGGATGCTGGGGGTGTATGAAATATGTATCTTCATAAGTAGATATGAACGTACTATGTGAATGGATACTAAGCAGTTTTGGCTTGTTGTTTGATTTTGGGAGAAGTTTGGGAGATCTTGTGTTGATTTTGATGGGGGAATGATGATTCACCATGGTTACGAGTGTTTTTTTTTTTCGGAGTTCGTAGTTCAACCTGGGTGCTGTGGGACCAGGAAGGTTAACCCTTGAAACAGGTTGGATTTTGCAGTGCTGTGCACCATTGATCTGAAGTATAAAACCAACCATCCTGTGGGGATATTCTATGGTGATAGAATAACAATATCAGAGGCGATCCAAACTTGGCAGATCGATGTATGGCATTCATTGGATTATGGGCTTTTACGTTTTGAAAGAACCCTAGGAATCACAGTTGCTTCACTCCACCCAATTCATGGGTAAACTGCTCCACTTAAGTCAGATACACCTCCAAGTGCTGGTGGAGGCGTACTGTCATTATACCTTTTCACCATTGGTTTCCCTTGAAAAGATGACCAATCAATTCAACAAATTGGAGGATCACTTGCAAGAACCCCTCCAGATGTGTTCACTTCAAAGACTTTGGGTTTCAACGACCCACACGACTTTCGACTTTGTACTTTGTTTTGGTGGGGTTCCACCCGGGTTTCCCCTGTCTTGGCAGTTTTGGAGTGGACTCGTAGCCGTCTTGGCTATTCTCCAATGATGGTTGGTTTCATGCTGTAGCTGGCTATTCTTGTTTCTTGTCTTCCTTTTTTGAATTTGCAAAAAGCAACTTCATTTTCGGTTGAACAAAAAAACATGTCACTCTGATTGCGATTTTGCCGCTGCGATTCCTATTTTTGTCGGTCCAATTTTGGTGAGTTCAAACTCCCATTTTGCTCAGTCCATCCGCAAGAATTTTTCGCCGGCAGGGCTTGTCCAGTAGTTTGGCCAACAAGAAGCGTGGCATGGATGAAGAAGATCAGGAGCGGCTCAAGTTGTGGCACTTTGGGTTTGTCCAAAAATGGCAGGATTTACGGACCAGTTTCATGGCAAATTTCAATAGGCTACATGATATTTGGGTCCAAACATGGGAGGATTTTTGGAACATTTCAATAGGGTAAATGAATGTGATGATAAACCAGTGGATGGAATAGGGGGTGCGTTATTTTCGGACAAACCCAGTTGGGGATGAAGTTTGAAGACGTTAATTGATCATGGACACTTCGTTGTGGGTCAGAAGTGAACTCCAGTTGGGACCAGCAGATGCACTATTTATTCTTTTGAATGATTATCCATGTTCCAACATCTATGAATTGTCAACTGTGTTTGGGTAAAAGTTTTTTTTTGTTTTTACTTCCCGAATTCTGACCTACACATTTCATCAGTATGCTGAACATCCCACATTCACCAATCATGCCAGGGTCTTGGTCCTTTGTGATGATTATGAGGTCCTGTCATGTATCAGGGAAATACACTCCAGTTCCTAGCGTGTTTTGGTTGGGTATATCTGCTTCTTTCCTCCTCATATTGCCAAAATGGTAAATTATATGTTGCCAACTGCTATCAATGGATGAATTCTTTGAATGCACTATCAATGATCTATCAAATTCATGTATATACGTATTCATATGTATATATATATATGTATATACATGTACCCAATAGTGGATGCTAGTTGATATGATCTATCTACCATCAATCCTAAGCCTCGCTCCAGGAAGATACCCAGCAGAATGCCCCCGACCGCGACGCGGTGGAGAAATCCCTGATCCACGTGGGAACGCAAGCGGATGACAAGCATCGCAATCCGCCCACGCTGGAGGTCTGGCTGCGTCTGCTGGGTTGCTGGTGGTAGGGTAGCTTGCGCGTAAAGAGTTGCAAGGGTTCATTTCTTTTACCGCAGAAATAACCTTTCACAACCACCACGTTTTTTTTTTCCCCTCTCTCTCTCTCTCTCTTGTTCCGAAACCTCTTCCTTGCCCATTCTTTTCCGACCAAACCTTCAGCTTCGAGTTTCAACCACCCAAGCCTACACCCAATCCATGAAGCTATGGCAGGTGCGGCGCTTTTTGGAGGCAATGAAGCAGGCTGGGTTGGGGAAATTCTAGCTGCAAGACTATCACTTCTTAATGGGTGTGCCTGAAAATGGGCTGCTCCCCCAATTTATGGCATTTTTTCATGAGGAAATAAGGAACATGATAATTAATCAGTGGATTTGGGTACCTTTTCTGGGTCAATCGCGTTGTTTGAATTTCCATATCCCAGCAACAAATCCCTTGTTCGCGGGGTATCTGCGATGTCATGCGATTTCCATCTTTCATTGAGGATTGGCCATTTTAGCAGTGCAGGTTGGTGGTCACAGATCACTAGCTCTGTCCATTTTCGCCATGATTACAGGTATAACCAATGGTATATGTGAATGTTTTGATGGCGAAAACCAAGGTATAACCAAGGGTTTAACCAATGGTTCAAAACAAGTCCTGATTTCTGATGTTTTGAACCCATGGTATAACCGTTATGGTATAGTGATTACAGACAGACTCCCAACGTTTCTTTTTTGTTTTTCCAAGTCTGTGATTTTGTTGATTTGAACCATTTTTTTTCCTGGTGGATTCCAGCTATATTTTTCCAGCCATTTTTTTT